CTCTGCAGCAATTAGGGGCCTGCATTAAATGTGGAAGGAAATCAGCGTTAACGTTTCGGTCCAGTGACCCTTCCTCAGAACTGGATCCGCAACATTAACTCTGATTTCTCTCCACATTTGCTGCCAGACTTGCTGTGCTTTTCCAGCAATTTCAGTTTTTGTTTCTGATTTCCAGCATCCACAGTTCTTTCAGTTTTTACCTGCATTAAATGTTGTCTTTGTCAGCGATATCCTTATTGACCGAAATCTTAATTCGTCTTTTGGATTAGCAATTCTTTTTCTTGGTATTCTTTTCTATGTAAAATCACTGTAAAAATATAAATGTTGTTTGTACAATTTGCAGTAACTTCATCAGGCAATAACTTCGTACTGGTGTATTTTTTAAACCAGAGAAAATTTGTTTTGTTTGAGTCAGAGATTTGCCATATTCAGGCAAGAATATAAAAGTGACAAATTACGTATAAAAGAAGAATTCTGATGGAAATGTTTGAGAAGAAAATATTTAGCTTGCAGCCACTTAAGCAATCATACTCACGTGATCACGGAAAACTACTCTGAAAGCCAGAGCAGTTCTTAAATTACAGGAAGCTGTTCTGCTTCTGTGCGTTATATTGTGCCCTCTGAGCAGGGATACTGGAGATGTCTGGCCAAAGATCTGTGTGTGAGTAAAAGGCTGTTACTAGTTCTGTCCTAATCAGGGTTAACAGAATAGTTGTGTGTTTGTGGTATCTGTGGGTGTCAAATTGATTAATGCTGTGCAAGTGCTCAAAGCTTGCTTAAAGTGTCTGAAAGTACTTTAAGTTGCTTTAAACCTAAACTGAGCTGCAGTTCCTGACCCATTCATTCAGCAAAACAGACATACCATGATTTACTGAAGTCAGCAGGCTTATTTTATGATTACAGTTGACTGACTCAGGATCTGTGCTTCAAGGGCTGACATATCCATTGTGTGTTTTAGGACAACATTATTGGTATCTTTGGGATTGGACTAGAGGGCTGGCAGTGGAGAGTTAGTGCCATTGGATTATTATGCAACAGTTCTTCACAGAATGCCTTGACTTAAAAATGATCTTTGTTTTGAAATCTCTCCATGGCCTCAATCTTCCACATTTCTGTAATCTCCCCCAACCTTACCACGCACCAAGATCTCTGCACTCTTCCTGTTTCAGCGTCTTGTCCATCTTTGATTTGATCAATCCACAATTGGCAGACATACTTTCAGCTGCCTCAGCCCTGGTCCTTCTGGAAGTCCCTCATTAAGTCTATCTTCCCCTCTAGATCTGTCTTCCCCCATTTAAAACGCACTCCAGTTCCAAAGAAGTGTCACTGGACCCGAAACGTTAACTCTGCATCCTCTCCAGATCTGCTGAGTTTCTGCAGCAATTTCAGTTTTAGTTTCGGATTTCCAGCAGTTCTTTGGTTTTTTTCCTCCTTGAAACATATCTCATTGCCCAAACTGTTCGTAACCTACCTGAATAAGTTATTATGTGGTTCAATGTCAGACTTTTTCTCGTAAGTGCCTTGGTACCATTCACTGCAATGTCAGTCATGATTAAGCTGGTAGCACCCTTGCTTTGGGTCAAAAGGTTATAGGTGTCAGTTCCATTCCAATGACTTTAGCACAAAACTCAAAGGTGACATTCCGGTGTTATACCTAGGGAGTACTGTTGGAGGAACCATCTTTCAGATGTGATGTTACACCAAGGCTCTCCTGTGCACTCTCAGGTGGGAATAAAAGTTCCCTTCACATTATCGCAATAGCGGGGGAGCTGTCCCTGGTGACCTGGCCATCAAAATCACTGAAAACAGGTTATCTGATCATATATGCACACCTTCTGGGAGCTAGCTTGTATACAAATTGACTACCATGCTTTCAACATTATAACAATGACTACATCTCATAAGGGATCTCATTGACTGTGAAGCACTTTGGGAAATCCTATACTTGTGAAAGTTGCTATAAAAATGTAAGTCTTTTTGAAAAGAGCTGTTTAAATGCAAGTTGTTGCTGTGGTTTAGTTGCAGCTTTCTGATCCACAATCAGCAAAGTAATTCACTTTAGATTACAAATGCATATTTGACCATCTTGGTCAATAATTTACAGTTGGAGCCCTCAACTGTGGTAAATATTTAATTGTTTCAGATACGGCAGTGTCAATGCCACCTTGGTCGTAAATTATAGTCATTGAAAGTTCAAAGTTTTGATTCAAGTGGGCACAATCAGGGGCATGCAGATTTTACTAATTAATCTTAATTGTATGTTTTCCTTTTTAAATTCCTCCCACAGCATTCGCTCAGTTTAACTCTGGGATTTATGCGTATGCGCAAATTGCTGGAATGGGGCTGGAACCCATAACTACCTGTGTCAGAAACAAGGGGGTTCCCAGCTGAATCCCTCAAAATTAGGCATTACTTTACCTAAACAGAGCTTAACTGCTTTTATCTTACCACTGCACAGTCTCCTTCATTTTTGTTTTGAAGATGCTGAATGACAACGTACCTTTATAAAGAACGTTGAACATTGGAAAACACGCCAAGGCACGTCACAAAACCTTAATCAGACAAAAAACAATTGCAGTTGAAAGGGGATCTGAGGAGGGCTGACTAGAAGCTTAACTTAAATGATCTGCTTCTTCAAATGGAATCTTGCCAGAGGAGAAGGATAAGAAACACCTCCTGCATTGATATGTTCAAAGTAGCTCTAGCTGCTATATAATTTGGGGGGAGGCAGTAAGAAGTGTCTGATACCAAAGAAGAACTTTGAATGGTCAGTAGACTGTATGTATTATTTGTCAACATTCAGTTGTTGGGGAATACATTTGCAGTCAGATTCAAAATGAATGAGGAAAATGTCAGTGTTTCAGGTTTTTATGGGATTGAGCTGGGACCTGTTTTACAAAGAAGGTTGGTATTTCAGCTGTTAAAACCCTTGGGGCAAATCACCTTGCAGTTTGGGGGGTTGGGGTGGGCTGGTGGTGAATGAGATTGCTCCACAAAGAGCCAGCACGGACTGATTGGGCAGATTGGTCTCCCCTCATGCTGCAAGTGATTGTGATTCTGTTTATGAAACCCGAGATCCCATATGCTGTGCGTGAAGAAGGTTATCTCAGAGTACAATGGGACCCTGATCAGCTGGGCCAATGAGCTGAGGAGTGGCAGTTGGAGTTTAATTTAGATAAATGCGAGATGTTGCATTTTAGTAGGGCAAACCAGGACAGGACTTATACATTTAGTGGTAGGGCCCAAGGGAGTGTTGCTGAACAATGAGACCTGGGGCGCCAGGTGCATAGTTCCTTGAAACTGGAGTTGCAGATAGACAGAATGGGAAAGAAGGTATTTAGCACGCTTGCCTTTATTGGTCAGTGCATTGAGTATAAGAGTTGGAACGTCATGTTGCAGCTGTACAGGATATTGGTGAGGCCACTTTTAGAATACTGCATACATTTCTGATCACCCTTGTATAGGAAGGATGTTCTTAAACTTGGAAAAGGTGCAGAAACGATTTACCGGGATGTTGCCAGGGTTGGAGGGTTTGAGCTGTAGGAAGAGGCTGAATAGGCCAGAGCTTTTTTTCCCTGGAGCGTTGAAGGCTGAGGGGTGACCTTATAGAAGTTTATAAAATCATGAGGGGCACGGATAAGGTGAATAGCCAAAGTCTTTTCCCCAGGGTGGGGAGTTCAAAACAAGAGGGTGTAGGTTTAAGGTAAGAGGGGAAAGATTTAAAAAGAACCTGAGGGATAACTTTTTCATGCAGAGTGTGGTGTGTACATGGAACAAGCTGCCAGAGGAAGTGGTGGAGTTGGGTACAAATGACAACATTTAAAAGGCATCTGGATGGGAATATGAATAGGAAGGGTTTTAAGGGATATGGGCCAAATGCTGGCAAATGGGACTTGGTCAGATTGGGATGTCTGGTTGGCGTGGATGAGTTGGACCGAAGATCCTGTTTCCGTGTGGTATGACTGTATGACTCTGTGACTAGTTCTTTCTACTCTGTTGAGGAACAAAAAAAATGTATAATTTATGGCAAGTTTGCTTTCACTTTTGTTCAGTTTGAGACGTTTTTCTCACAGCTTTTGTGTCAACTGTATGCAGTCTTGCATTCTGCATTGTTAATTCAGTACACCAAATGACTTTGCCTTTGCATCCTTGAGTTTTTGTATTGATGCACGAACTGTGTACACATTCACTGTAGCCCTTGTAGTAATGCATTTGAATGTACATTGTAGTTTTGCAAACAGTAAAGGAAGATTAAATTATGACCTTTTAAGAGTATTAAAAAGGGCAAAACCTTGCAAAGTATATTCTTGAAAGGTAATCATTATCCTCTCTTCCTGTGTTCATTTGCTGTTCTGAGTAATTTTTTGCAAACTCTACTGTTTATTATAAAATATTAACCATCACTAAGATTGGTTGTACAGTAAACGTTAAAGGTGAAACTGGTGTCAGAAAGAAAAAACAGTCTTTGAAACTTCATTAAAAGCAAAATATTGAGGATGCTGGAAATCTGAAATGAAACAAAGTGCTGGAGAAACCCAGAAGGTCTGGCTGCATCTATGGACAGATTAACCATCAATGTTTTTGGTCCATTACGACTTTCTCAGAACTAAAAGGGGCTGGAAAATGGCGATTTCTAGGCTGTTAACAGAAGAGGATGAGGAGCGAGTGGAATAGATGGTGAGGGTGCCCACAGCAGAAGACATGGGGAGTGCTCGTGGCAGTACAGGAGAAATACAGATGAGAAATGGGTGCAGGTAAAGGTGTGAGATGGAGAATATGGGTCCACTTTACTGAGAGAAAAGTCAACAAGACAAAAATGCAGCTGGGGTGGAGGTGAAAATGTAAGAAAGACAGAGGACAGAGATTATGCACTGAAGCTGTCTCCTTTTCACATCTTCATTAATGCCCATTTTACATCTCTAAGGGAAGAAATAAATTTCTATAATAATTTCTGTTTTGAGTAATGTTAATAATATGTTCCTCTGCCTCCCCTTCTACAGCCTCGGGACTCTCTACTCCCTCCACCCCAGTACAATCCACCAAACCAGCCTTCCCTCTGGAATCGTACAAACAGGAACCTGAACGTTTGGATGCTCGATCTCGTTCCTACTCTTCACCGCCAGACACAGGCCAGCGATTCTCTGTTCCGGTAGCCCCACCTATGGTGGCAGTAAAGCCACTCGCCCCACAGACCAGCTCCAATGCTACCTCAAAACCAGTAAGTATGGAAGAACTGGCGTTGGTAACATTTTGTGCCATTTTGCTGCAGAGTGGAACCAACAATGTCTATGCATGTCAATGCCAAGTAGTCGCAATGTTGACCACAGTGGTATTAATCTCTTTTGTTTCTCTGTGTGTGTGTGGCAGTGAGTGAATGTAAGTGAATGAATCAACATGTTTGTGAGTGAGTTATTCAGTCAGTCACTGTGTCAGTCAATCTGTTACTGCAAATGAGTGAATGTGTGTGGAGGTGTGTGTATGCGAGTAAATGTGAAGGTGCGAGTGTGTAGGTGTGAGTGTGTGATTGCGCGTAAGTGTGTCAATGTATGTGAGTGAGTGTATGGTTAATTGAGTTTGCAGGTACATATGAGTGTATAGATGGTGACATATTGATTAATTAAGTGAAGTATCATGAGCCTTTCACTTAGATGATTGCTGAGTTCTGGCAGTGCACCCAAGATCCTATTCTGGGTAAAACCAACTCTGTGGACACGTGGATTGTTGTCAGACTTTTCTTTCCAGTAAAAGGTATATCGCCCAACCTTTAGCTGTCCCTCCCCAGGAAGGCGAGTCTCACTGAGGGCACCGATATCAATTTGGGGAATTCATAGTTCACCTGATAGGATTGCAGTTCTTCTTTTGGGATTATCACTCTTGAGATTGTCAGTGGCCATTATAACATTCCAAGTTGTAAGAGTTAGAATTTTTTTTCTCTGACCCTCTCCCAAGATAGTGATCCCTCAGGTTTTGGCTCCACAGCCAGAAAAACGTGGGGCAGTGTCTTTTTTGGGCCAGTTTAATGAGCACCTCCCCATTTGGGGTGAGCAGAAGAGATCCTTAAGATGACTATTCAGTTACAGATGCTACAACCTGAAGATACCTCTGGCCCAAAACCTTCAAGCATTTATCACCTGGCTGCAGATTCTTGAAGAAGGAATCTCATGCTCATGGCCCTTTCCTCATCATCAATTCTCCACTGCCATAGGATTTGGCAAATAGACCTTATTGGAAGCCCATGTGGGATTTTGTTTAACATGGAGACCTTGAGACACTAACATTGCCCACATGATCACAGCAAATTGGCGGTCACAGTTTGGTGATGCTCCGAACCATGATGATCAGGACTGTCCTGCCTCGACAGCCATTATGTGCCTTTGTAGTTGGTGACCTAGGCCTGCACTGTGTCTGGGATGTCTAACAGCCATGCCAGCATGGGTGATCACACCAATAGTAAACAGCACTTAATGACTTCATTCAAACAAGCCATATCTGCCATCCATACAGACAGCCAATATTTGTGACTGGTATAACTTCAACAAACTTCAGAGCAAACACAGGAAGGATATAAGGTTTTGGAGTAGATCTGTAGCTCGGGTTGTGGGTGTTGAGGTTGGTTGGCTCGCCGAGCTGTTTTGTTGTTCTGCAGACGTTTCGTTACTGTGCTTGGTAACATCCTCAGTGCAGCCTCTGATGAAGCGTCGGTGTGTTTTCCAGCCTGGTTTTTAAACTCTGGGGTCCGTTGCGATGGATTGTCTCACTTCCGGGTTTCCTCCGTAGTGGAATGTATATGGGGTTGAGTTCAATGTGTTTATTAATAGCCTGCTTCGTGGAGTGCCATGCTTCCAGGAATTCTAGTGCTTGTCTCTGCCTAGCCTGTCCCAGGATCTTGGTGTTGTCCCAGTCAAAGTCATGGTTCTCCTTGTCTATGTGGATTGAGATGAGTGAGTATTGGTCGTGTCTTTTTGAAGCCAGTTGGTGTTCATGTACTCTTGTTGTTAGTTTCCTTCCTGTTTGTCCGATGTAGTGTTTCTCGCAGTCTCTGCAGGGGATCTTGTAGATGACTTTGGTCCTGTCCATGGCGGGGAGTGGGTCTTTAGTTCGGGTGAGCACTTGCCGTAGGGTTGATGTGGGTTTGAACATGCTTAAACTACTGGACCTATGCCTGACCACCCACTTCACCTTCAACGGCCAAACATACGAGCAAATCAACAGGACACCCATGGGATCGCCTATCTCCAGACTCATAGCAAAAGCAGTGATGCAAAGACTGGAAAGGACTGCCCTTCCGCAAATCCAACCTAAACTATGGATACGCTACGTAGAAGACACCTTTGCCATCATTAAATGGACCAAATTAGAAGAGACACACAAACTCATAAACAACACCCTCACCGGAATAAAATTCACCAGAAAGGAGGAGAGGAACAAACAACTCCCATTCCTGGACGTCATGATAGAGCGCAAGACAAATGGGGAACTGCAAACGAAAGTACACCGTAAAGCCACACACATAGACCAGGTATTGAACTTCAGTAGTAACCATCCCAGCACACACAAACGAAGCTGCGTGCGAACGCTATTCAAAAGGGCAACAACACACTGCAGCAACATGGAACTACGCCAAGAGGAGGAGGAATACCTCTTCCAAGTGTTCAAGGATAATGGATATCCAAAGAACTGGGTCAGGAGATGCCTACAGGAACAGCATCAGAAAGGTTCTACATGCCCCGACACACTCATCACACTACCCTACATCAGGAACATGTCAGAACTCACCACAAGACTTCTACGACCGCTGGGCATCAGAGTGGCACACAAACCCACATCAACCCTACGACAAGTGCTCACCCGAACTAAAGACCCACTCCCTGCCATGGACAGGACCAATGTCATCTACAAGATCCCCTGCAGAGACTGCGAGAAACACTACATCGGACAAACAGGAAGGAAACTAACAACGAGAGTACATGAACACCAACTGGCTACAAAAAGACACGACCAATACTCACTCATCTCAATCCGCACGGACAAGGAGAACCATGACTTCGTCTGGGACAACACCAAGATCCTGGGACAGGCTAGGCAGAGACAAGCACGAGAATTCCTGGAAGCATGGCACTCCACGAAGCAGGCTATTAATAAACACATTGAACTCGACCCCAGATACATTCCACTACGGAGGAAACCCAGAAGTGAGGCAATCCATCGCAACGGACCCCAGAGTTTAAAAACCAGTCGGGAAAACACACCGACGCTTCATCAGAGGCTGCACTGAGGATGTTACCTAGCACGGTAACGAAACGTCTGCGGAACAAAACAGCTTGGCGAGCCAACCAACCTCAACAGGAAGGATATTTCCAATGACTGGAGAGTCCAGAACTAGGGGGTCACAGTCTAAGGATATAAGTAGGCCATTTAGGAACAAAGAATAAAGAAAATTACAGCACAGGAACAGGCCCTTCGGCCCTCCAAGCCTGTGCCGATCCAGATCCTCTGTCTAAACCTGTCACCTACTTTCCAAGGATCTGTATCCCTCTGCTCCCTGCCCATTCATGTATCTGTCTAGATACATCTTAAATGACGCTATTGTGCTCGCCTCTGAGACAAGGAGAAATACTTTCACTCACAGAGCGCTGAGCCTATGCAATTTTCTGCCACAGAAAGGAGTTGAAGCCAAAATGTTAAGTGCTTTCAAGAAAAAGTTAGATATTGATCTGAAGGGATCAAAGGGTATGGGGACAAAGAGTACTGAGCTGGGTGATTAGCCATGATTACATTGAATGGTGGAGCAGGCTTGAAGGGCTAAATGGCTTAGTCCTGCTCCTATTTTTCTAAGTCTCAATCAAATTAAATTGAGAGATGTAATAGATGATCCTCACCATTAGCTTCTTGATGCTACTTGTAGTGGGTCTTCCTCTTCAGGCAGTTTGAGTTGTAACTCTCCACCTAACTGTAGGATCAGCCAATAACGGAAATGATTGTTTGTTTCAAAGATAAACTTGGCTGCAGTTGCTATTGATTTAACCTGAATAAGTCCACTACTTTGTAAAGATTTTAGAGGTTAAATGTTAGTTAATGCCTTTAATCTTATTAACAGCAAAAGGATTATTCACATTGTGGGAGTGACAAGGAATGATGGAACATTTGTCAACATCATGTTCATTTTATGAAGGAACTCTTAACAAAGCAAGCAGAAGAGTTGAGGCTCAAATTACTGTGGACTGTGCATGAAATGGAGACACCAGCTGCAAGCACTAGTTTATAGGGGAATGGTTAGTACACTGTCCATTCACCCACTTCTTAATCCCCAGAGGAAAGTGATAGCCTCCTAGTTTGCTGAGTTTAATGCAATTAAAGTAATTTTTAAAGTGATGCAATTACAGAAATTAATGCCATTTTGTCTGTAGAGGTAACACACCTCAGTAAATTGCAGCAATGTTTGTCTCTTCACAAGTGCATAAAGGGACTGTAGGTCCTTCAGTGGAGGTTGGCTACAAAGGGATCTGGTTCGCCCATTATCTGCTTAGCAAGGATCACTCACAGTATGGTAATTCAAAGCCTGCCTTTGTCACAAGGAACTTGTTCATCACTTCTTACGTTTTCCATTCCTCAGAACTGAGGAAGGGTCACCGGACCCGAAACGTTAACCCTGATTTTTTTTCTTCACAGATGCTGCCAGACCCGCTGAGCTTTTCCAGCAACTTCTGTTTTTGTTAACATCCTTATAAATGTTTTCTGAACCCTTTTGAGTTTCACAAGTTTCATGAATAAGAGTGTTCTTTCAGTCTCAACTGTGTGTGAGCAAGTGCTCTGTTAGGTTCATCGGAGCTTTCTTTTCTCTCTGCCTGGGTTCTGAGGACCAGAATGCATACTGGTGAGTAGCTAGGGATGTGGTATGAGGCACTGTTACAGAAGGGGCACTGGAAGTGGATGGGATATGAGGGGAGTGGGATGGAGAGTCTTATAAAACAACTTTAAAAACAGCTTGAACAAAGTCCCAGAGAACCAAGAGACACTTTCTAACTATTTTGATACTCATCTCTCCCTGTAGCCACCTCCAAACAGCTTCTCAGGTTGGCAGACCCAAGTCAATCCTGTGCCCACCTTCATCAAGCAAATATCCTCTGTTTCAGAGCCCTGTGTATCATGCCAAGTTATACAAAGTGGGGAGATTATCCAATACAAGTTAACTGCAGTAAAAGCAGAAGTTGCTGGAAAAGCTCAGCAGGTCTGGCAGCAACTAAGAAGAAAATATCAGAGTTAATGTTTCGGGTCCGGTGACCCTTCCGCAGGACTGATGGTAGCTGGGAAAACGTTGGTTTATATGCAGAAAACAGGAAGGGGGATGGGGTAGGGAGTAAATGATATGATAAAAGATAGAGTCCAAAGAGAGAGAAGAGCAGTGGGATAGACAAAGGAGTTGATAACGATCTGGCTAGGAGGGTGAGTAGCTATTAATGTGGACTGTTAGTGGACCAACGATAGGTAGTATGTAATGGCAGGCTGTGTGATAACTGTCTGCACTCTGTGCGCTTAGATCTAACCCTGACTTTGTTATTAAGCCTGCCGATAAGGGCAGAGGCTGAGCACCTCAGATACCTCCTCCTATCTTCCCCTGGACCATGACCCCACCATGACGCATCAAGCCATTGTATGTACGATAGTAACTGATATCATTTCATCCAACGATCTCCCCCCGCACTGCTTCCAAGCTGATAGTCCTCCAGCCCCACCTAGCTCGCTTCTAAATTCTTCCAAAAATCCACACACACAGGACTGTCTGGGCAAAAAACCATTGTTTCAGCCTGCTCCTGCCCCACAGAACTCATCTCTTCCTACCTTGACTCAGTCTTCTCTTCCCTGGTCCAATCCCTGCCCACGTACATCCATGATTCCTTAACGCCGGTTTGAAAATTTCCAGTTTGCAGGCTCCAGCTGCCTCCTCTTTACCGTGGACGTGCAATCCCTTTGCATGTCCATCTCCCACCAGAATAGTCTTAGGGCTCTCCGCTTCTTCCTGGAGTGAAGGCCCGAACTGTCCTCACCCACCCTCACCCTCCTCTGCTTGAACAAGCTCATCCTCACCCTCAACAACTTCTCTTTTAACTCCTGTCATTTTCTTCAGGTCAGAGGGGTGGTCATGGGTACCCATATGGGCCCCAGTTATGCCTGGCTCTTCATGGGGTACGTGGAACATTCCTTGTTCCAGTCCGATTCCAGCCCCCACCCACAACTCTTTCTCCGATACATTGATGATATCATCAGTGCTGCTTCCCTCTCTCATCCGGATTTGGAAAAGTTCATCAATTTCGCTTCCAATTTCCACCCTGCCTCACCTTCACCTGGTCGATCTCCAACTCCTCCCTTCCCTTCCTCAACATCTCTGTTTCCATTTCTGGGGATAGACTGGCCACTAATATCCACTACAAACCCACTGACTCCCACAGCTACCTGGACTATACATACGTTAACTCTGATATTTTCTTCATAGTTACTGCCAGACCTACTGAGCTTTTCCTGTAGGCGTTTATATCAAGTAATTCTTAACATGTCAGCAACTTCTGTTTTGGTTAAATTCCTGCAGAGTTCACTACCACTGGCAGCATCTTTGTTGCTTTGGAAATGTTTTGGGTTTTCTTTCATTTCACTATTTTTTGTCAAGTAGCCTTTCCCCGAAATATGATTCTTATCCACTCTGAAAAGGATAACGTAACTGTTGTGGTCCAGAAGGATGTCATTCGGCCAATCGCACCTGCACCAGTTCTGCCAATCTGTAGCCTTTTCCCCATATCTCTGCACACTGTTTCTGCCCAAATAATCATCTGATGCCCTCTTCAATAGAAACTGCCTCCACCTAATTCCCAAGCAGTGCATACCCTAACTATGAGCTGAGCGAAAGAGTTACTTCTCACAGTGAAGAGGTGCATCAGACACCTGTTTTTCTTTAAAGTTACCTGCGAGAAACCATCTTGCCTAATTTCCTAAGTAAGGAATCCAACACCCAATACTGTTGGGAAATGTTTCAGTCACATATACAGACTTCTATACAATCAAACCCATTGCTCTGCTCTCTTTCTATAGCCTTCGTGTGTGAGCAGGGCATGAGGTTCGTGCTAGCATTGTTCTGATTCAGAAATTACAACATGTAATTCTGTCTTAATATGGGAAGAGGCTTCTCCTTTGAATTGAGAAAGAAAATTTATTGGATTTCTTTGGACAGCTGAATTTAAATATGATGAAATGGCAGCACAAAGCATGAAGAGTGACAGAATGTATGTGTATCTGTATGGAGCAGAAGCAGAAATGCTGAAGAAACTCAGCAGGTCTGGCAGTATCTGTGGAGAGACAGAAACATTAATGTTTCAAGTCCAGTGACCCTTCATCAGAACTGATGGTAACTAGGAAAATGTGGTATTTATGCTGAAGGTGGGGTTGGGGAGGGCTGATGGGAATGGAGAGGAGTGTGTGGATAGGCAGAGATGGAGCCCAGAGAGAGAGAATGTCAAAAATACCAAAGAATTATGAGTGCTAGAAATCAGAAATAGAAACAATAATTGCTGGCAAAACTCAGCAGGTCTGGCAGCATCTATGGAGAGAAAGCAGAGTTAATGTTTCAGGTCCAGTGACCCTTTTTCAGAATGGTTCAGTTGAAGCCAAGGCTCAACAACATTTTTTTTGGCAGAGAGAGTTATCTAGATTTCCTCTCTGTGTGGCCCAGATATGATTTTAAGGTTATGCCCTCTTGTTTTGGACACCACCGCCAATCCCTGCCTGCCCCCCACCCTCCAAAAAGAGGGAATATCGCTCTACGAGATAGTAAGAACTGCAGATGCTGGAGTCAGAGATAACACAGCATGGAGCTGGAGGAGCTGGAGGAGGTAACATCAGAGGAGCAGGAAAGTTGACGTTTCGAGTCAGGACCCTTCTTCAGTAATGGGGGTCGGGACATTTCTGAAGAAGGGTCCCGGCCCGAAACGTCAACTTTCCTGCTCCTCTGGTGCTGCCTGGCCTGTTGTGTTCCTCCAGCTCCACATTGTGTTATCAATATCTCTCTGTCTTGTCCAACCTGAAAAAGACTCATTTACACTTACTACCTGCTGTCAGTTAGTCAGCCAACCTTCTATCTGTGCCAATTTGCTAATTCCTACCTCATGACCTTTTCTTTTCCACAATAACTTTAAAATGACACCTTATCAATTGCCTCCTGGAGTTCTCACCTCAGTGAGATCATGCTTGAAAATCAACAACAATTACCAAAACTTTAATAAAGGTGAAAACTTTAGAGAGAAAACCAGCTGGAAATTAAAAAATACAAATAGTAAAGGCTCTTTGAAGAAGAAAGGATACAATTAAATGACTGTTGGTCCCACAGTGAGTGAGACTAGAGAATTAATAATGAAAATTAAGGAAATGGCAGATGATTTGAACAGTTTTTTGAACAGAGGGATCCGAGTGTCATCATGTGGAATTACAATAGATTATTTTGGAGGTATAGTAAGTAATTAGGAAAGCTAACAGAACATTATCATTTGTCATGAGGGGAGTTGAATACAAATGTAGCAATGGTCTGTTTTGATTATATAAGGCACCGACAAGACCACTTCTGGATAATGCGCATGATATTGGTCACCTTATCCAAGGACAGTTCAGAGGATGTTTATGAGGTTCAAAGGACTAAGACAGTTCAGAGGAGGTTTATGAGACTTGTACCTGGAATAGGCAGGTTATCTTATAAGGAAGGTTGGACAGGCTAGGCTTATATCTG